TGGCGCTTTGTGGTGCTATAAGTGGACGGGGTTCTGAACTCCAAGCCCTACTCCCTGGCATGCCTTTCGCCCATTGGGGCGTCTCGGCACCTGCTGTGTGCTAGGCCTGTGGTGGGTGGCGGTAGCAAGGGCTGTGGGGTAGAGGCGACACAGTACATGGATGATGATGAGAAGCATCAGGGAGGCAGTGAGAGCAGAGCTGAGACCTGCAAGGAGGGGACTGGCTGTGGGTGTTGGGGCTCAGGGAACTGCCTCTACCCAGAGCCACAGTGGCCAGTGAGGGCAGAGCAGGGACCGAGGCTCAGGAAGCCGGGTGGTCTTCGCATCAGGTGTGCAGGTTCATGCCGGGCTGGGCCTGGGTCCCAGAGGAACGGAGGGTCCCCGATCTCCCTCCTCGTGTTTCCCTGCTGTTTCCTGGTCAAGTGGATGCTTCTTTATTGCAACTCTGGCAGTTATTCTGCATATTAAGAGAAGTTTCACAAAATGTAAGGGGAGTATTGACTAGGGATTCATTTTTTTTTTTTTCGCCCCCTGATTTTACACGGAGGCTTCTACTATCCCTTAGTGTGGAGGCAGAGTGCAGATGCTCTACAGTTTTCTGTCTAGGAAGATAAGAGCTGCTGGGAAGTCACAGATCTGATCATTGCAATAGCACTGACATTTTTAAGTGACAGAATGCTGATGTCTATAATAATCAGAGTAAAACTTCAGTAGCTTCACTATAAAAGATGTCAAGATGATCTTAGAGCCATTTCGTCCTTAGATCCTTCTGCAGTGTGGAGGTGACATCTCTATCAGCTTCTGGTCAGTACACCTGTGGGTAACTGAATGCTTGCAGGTAAATGAGAAACTGAACTCTCTAATTTTCTTTAATTTTAGTCAAATTTAAATATTACATGGGCCGGGCACCGTGGCTCATGCGTGTATTACCAGCAGTCGAGGTCGAGGCAGGTGGACTACGTGAGGTCAGGTGTTCAAGACCAGCTCTGGCCAACAAGGCTAAATCCCATCTGTACTTAAAAGTATAAAAACGAGTCTGGCATGGTGACAGGCGCCTGTGTCTCAGCTACTCGAGACAGAGGCAGAAGAATCACTTGAACTCGAGAGGCAGAGGTTGCAGCAAGCCGAGATCAAGCCACTGCACTCCAGCCTGGGTGACAGAGAGAGACTCTGTCTTAAGAAGAAAAAAAAAGATTTTAAAGAAACCCTACATGCCCCTAGTTGCTTCTGTAGGAGACGGCATGGTTCCAGAAGGTACTTTTGTGTTGAGGACTATGCAACGTCAGGCTGGAGACAGTCTCCCTTCCTAGCAGCGTGGGCCCGTGGGCTGCTCTTCTACCAGAAGGGATGGTGGAGTCTCTGGGAGGTATCTGTGGACTCAGATCTGTGGACAGGTGACTTGTGTTACTCACAGATACTTAATTTCCAAGTGGGTAAATGAATACCTGGACTGGCTGCAACTTCAGGCGACAGATTCAGAGTAGGGAGTGAAAAGTGACGACGGAACCCTGGGCTTTGTCCTGCCGCCCCCCACGACTCGGGTAGGGGCCCCTTCTAGTCTGAAGTCCCAGCACGTGGTTAGGGGGTACTCCTCCTCTGAAGCTCCCAGGAAGTGATCGGGGCACCACTCCCCTCTGAAGCCCTGAGCACCCGGTCGTGGGCCCCCTCCTCTCTGAATCCCCCAGCATCTGGTCGGGCGCCTCCTCTGAATCCCCAGTACCTGGCCTGGTGCCCTCGGCTTCTAAAGCCCCTAGACCTCCCCTGCCTGCGGTGCTGCTTCTCCAAATGCCAGCCTTTGGCTGTTTTCCAGAGTCACCTTCACCCCCAGCAGGTTGGCGGTGCTACTTTTGGGATCTGGGTAATGTGAAGCTCATTTATCTTGCCTTCCTCCTCATGTGCCAAGTATCTCACTTCCATTGTCTATCCAGTTCGTGTGAGTGCGTGTTGTGCGTTTCAGGCTGTACTCGGTGCTTAGGTGACAAGATCGTTTTAGAGCAACGGACTGTACTCCAAAGGACGTTGTGCATGAATTGAGAGACACAGTTACTTGTGGGTTTGAATTTCTGGGTGTTGGAGGCAGTTACGGGGAAACAAGGCTTAAAAAGCCTGGGGGATGAGGAAGAAATAATTAAAAGATTACTTTATACACACTTAACAGTTGATTTAATTTGTAGGTGAATCTGCATTGGGGGAACTACTAAAGCTACTGTTTGTGGGGATTCCTTGATGAGTTTGTTTTCTGTCAAGTAGAAAGTAAAGTGGATCGCTTTGCTTTTAATTCTGACTGACTAGAATTCTACTTCCTTTTTCACCCCTTTCATGTTAGATGGGGATTCGACTAGAAGAGTTGCAGTATCTCTTTATTTCTGATCTTAAATGAATTTTTTCTTTGCTCACTGTTTTTGTTGTTGTTGTTGTTGTTGTTTTTGGTGAGCTACTGTTTTTTCCTTCAATACACTGTTCTACGGGTTGGGGAAATGTGCTCAATTTGTACCCGTGCTTTAAATGTGCACAGTGGTTCCTAAAATTGCTACTTTCTGCTGTTGATATAACATCTTAATTAAAAATGTCATCTAGATCAGGCACAGTCTGGAGGCCTGGAGACCTCCTTGTCACTTCCTTCCCGCCGTGTCTCCTTCCTGGCCACGCGCTGCCCTCCCTGGCCACGCTGCCCGGCCACATCTCCTCCCCACACCACGCCGTGTCATCCCCACCACGTCACCTCTGGTCACATCACTCCTCCCTCTCGGCCACATCACCTGTGGCCTCACTGCCTGCTTCTTCCTCCGGTGGCTACCATGGCTCCTGCTGTCTGCCCTCCTGAGAGTCTGTTCGAGACTCCTTCCCCGCTTTTCTGCTCCTAAGGGTCTTGGGGCCTGGATGTTTCACAGGATGCAAAGCTTTTTCCTTCCAGGCAGCGGGTCTCTGAACGTCAAGTCCAGAGAGGCACTAAACTATCCCCACCTGGAGGCCCTGAACCCCTGATCACCCACCACCAGGCTTTTCTGCAGGGTGTGGGGCAGGACTCATGAATTGACCTGCGCGTGCTTCCAGGAATCCTTGTTTTAAGTGTACCGGTTAAGAGATGGGGAGAGGGTAACTCGGTTTGCTCAGAATTTGGCCCTGATCACAGCCAACGAGGCAACATAAGCTCCTCCTAAATGAAGCATTCCATAGACTGATTTTACACATGACAGTTGTGATGGCTGGAAAAGCCCCACACAATGAGAGTTTGAGCTGCATTTGAAGGAAGTGAACAGGTTCTGCAGGTGGAAATGAAAGATCAGGTGACCCAAGTCATCAGCTGTAGCGGGGGTGGGGTGGTGCGGACTCCCATGGATGGTGTGTATCACAGACCAGGAGAAGGCAGGGGTGCGAAGCAACAGCACAGCAGCATTAAAATTCCCCTGCAGAGAGGAGACTGAGATATTATCACATGTATACAACTGAGAGATATCGAGGATGATTTCTGGGAGCCTATGGGAAGATCAGTCAATGCCTAGTCATCAGTTCTCGGGATCTCTTTATGAAGGAAAATAGCCATGCCTTCTGCCTATCTGTGTTGTTAAGATCAACGATAATCTTCAGCGAGCCAAATGCTAAAGGTTATGACAGACTGTCTCCAGCACCCTTGTTTCTATCCTCCTTCCTCCCTCGAACCCTGCCAGTGTACCTTCACTATCTGCCTGGCTTCCTCCTCCATAACGAGTCCTGAGTACTTGCTGGGTACCTCGCTGTCTGCCGTACAGCTGGCTGTAGCCTTGCTAAACGCACTTGGCTGGCACATAAGCAGAAGTGCTCGGCCTTTGGGAGGGCTTGGACATGTGTGGTGCCTGCTTTTCCCTGTTAGGCTGGGAGCTGCAGGAGCCTCCTAGACCAGATAGAGGACCCAAGGCTGTGGCCTCGGGGTGGGGGTTGTGGAGCTCCCTGGGTTTATTATGGGTGAGAGTAACTTCAGTCCCGCTGCGGCATCGGGATTCAGGTTCTCTGAATGCCTGAGTGAGAAACAGGCGTGCACAGGTGCGCTCTTTGCGGATTTTACGGTTATCTTGAGCGAGCACTGGTGCCTCTGAGCTTTGAACCTGCAGAACCACTTCTTCCACTAATGGCCGCCTTTGTAGATGAATGACTTACAAACGTATGCCACTCAGATGGAGGTATTTGCAGGGCCTGGAAAAATGAACAAATGACTTTCATCTCAAGGAAAGTTCCTTACATTATTCCCAATGATAGACATTTGAGCTTTCCAATGAGTATTAAAATATAAAAATCTTGTGTCCACCACTTTCTCATGTGACCAATGGTGATATTGATGTGTTTTTGTTTGTTTGTTTGTTTTTTGATATAGAACGAAATGTGGAAGTTGCTCATAATTCTGAACCAGTGTTTTCTAACCAATGTGTGATTACAAAATCGTGTGCTGGTAAAAGTCATTCAAGTGTAGGATGGACCAGTTGACTCAGAAGGAATTGGGGCAGAAAGGCCCGTCGACCAGAGCACAGACTCTGCGTTGCAGACAGCCTGTGCGGAAGTGCCACTTATTACATTTTGCAGCAGAGAATACCTAAAATGATCTGAAAACACAATGAAAATACTGCTTCCTACTTGTATATCAGCATGGGGTCGGACTTCCTTCATAAACTTGAGCCACGGCTCTGCAGCCCACTGAATGCAGATGCAGGCATGAGAACCCTGCTGTCTGAGGTGCAGAGATGTTAGGTGTTTTCACAGCAGCACAAACTGTTGCCACGCTGCTACTTATTTGGGAAAATGGTTTCTTCTTGAAGACTGTGTTAAGATGTAATGACTTTATCGTTGTAAAATAAACTAAATTGTTACCTTTTTTTTTTTTTTTTTTTGAGACGGATTCTTACTCTGCCACCCAGGCTGGAGTGCAGTGGTGTGACCTCAGCTCACTTCAACCTCTGCCTCCTGAGTTCAAGCGATTCTCCTGCCTCAGCCTCCCTAGTAGCTGGTACTACAGGTGTTAAGCACCATGCCAGGCTAATTTTTGTATTTTAGTAGGGACGGAGTTTCACCATGTTGGCCAGGCCGGTCTCGAACTCCTGACCTCAAATGATCCGCCTGCCTCTGCCTCCCAAAGTGCTGAGATTACAAGCATGAGCAGCCTGGGATCAAGGTGCAGGCAGGTTTGGATCCTCTGGGGCCTTACTCCATGCTGTGTAGACGGCGTCCTCTCTGTGTCCTCACAGGTTTCTCTTATGTGCGTGCAGCACTGAGGACTGTGTCTAAATTCTCTCAAAAGAATACCAGTCATACTGGATCAGGGCCTACTCTTAAGATCTTAGGTGACCTAAATTTCCAAGTTAAAGACCTGTATCTAAATACAGTGATATTTTGAGTTTCCGGGGTTGTGACTTTAACAAGGGAATCTTGAGAGGGGGGACAGTTCAGCCCATGACACCTTTAGGGAAGAATCGTGGTGAAACCGCTACGTTGGATCAGGTAATGTTTCCTTGGCTGAGACGTTTAAAGCTATAACAAGCAACTGAAGGGAAAAAGATGGTATCAAAATTTAAAATGTTCATTTCAGAGGATACTATTAAAGTAAAAAGACAACCCACAGAACAGGATAGATTATCACGATAAGGACCTGATATCATGAATATATTTAAAAGCTCTTAGTAAAAATCCAATTTAAAAATGGACAAAGGATTTGAATAGACATTCTCCAAAGAAAGACATATAAATGCCTTAAAAAGCACATGAGATGTTTAGCAGAATTCATCATCTTAGAAATGGAAATCAAAACCACCGTGAAATACCACTTCACAACCACCGGGATGGATAAAACCCCAGTATTGGACAGTGACATGGAGGTGAATTTGGGAAAAGTGAAATCTTGATATATTGCTAGTGGGAGGGGAAGTAAAATGGTACAGTTGATTTGGAAAAGTCTGGCAGTTCCTCAGAAAAGTTGAGCATGAAATCACCGTACAACCCAGCAATTTCACTCCTAGGCATATGCCCAAGAAAATTGAAAATATTTTGCAAGAATCTTCATAGCAGCATTATTCGTAGTAGTAGAAACAGTCCAGGTATCTGTCGACAGGTCACTCACTGTGAGATTCCACTCACCTTGGACGTGAAAGATGTCAGCACCGAAGGTCACGCACTGTATGATTCTCCTCACAACAGGTGTCCAGAATGGGCAAATACAGAGAAACGGAAGTCGGCTGGCGACTTCCAGGTGCTGGCGGAAGGAAGGAGCAGGTGCTGACTCTTAATGGGTTCAAGGTTTCTTTGGCCCGTGGTGAAAAAGTCCCAGAATTACATACTAGTGGTTGATGTGCAGCTTTGAGAATATGCTAAAAAGACTGAATTGTATCCTTTAATATTGGGGCTTTTATGATTTGTAAATTCCTTTCAATTTCAAAAGGAACTCAAGAACTTCTTTGGTGTTGATATTTGGATTGTGAAAGAGACAGTATCCAAAACAAGTTACTATGTAACTCACGTCCCCAGAGTTAAACTTCATTTTCTGAGGATCTTAAAGGAAGTGTTTGAGCCTAGGAGACACAACGATCCTATACTAGATGTTACACCCCATCTTACTGATTTCTATCTCACATAGCCGTATTCAGGGAATACCGACACGTAAACGTGAGCTGAATGCTATGCAGAGGCACATTCCTCTTACCCGGATGATCTTTAGTGGTGCAGTAAGAGATGGGGTCATAGCAACGTTAGTTTAGCTAGTTTAATTTCCATGGCAACAGGAATTTGGCACATCTGATGAGTTAGATGTCCCTGCACAGCTCCTAACGAGGTTGCCCATTTCTGTGTGGTGTCTGTGTATATTCTTGCTGTGGAAAAAAGTGATAGCACCTGCACAAACAGTTGCCCGGAAACACGCACGAAGCTGGTGAAGGCAGAGGACAGGTAAGAGGGAAGCATGGCTCAGCCCTGGCAAAGAAGATCGTTATTCCGAACGCAGTCAGGTGGAGAGTCTTGCTGCTGGTGTCTGGGAAATGTGTTGTGTTTGCTTCTATCTGAACAGCTGGACCTGAGCGTGTCTGTGCTTCAACATTTAATCTGTACAGTATCCTCGGCAGGGCGTGTAGCTCTGTGGCAGAGGACACCCCGGCCACAGTGGATGTCAGCGGCGGTGGCTGGACTCAGGGTCCGTGAATGTTGCGTGATCGAACATGTTTGGTTCATTCTCAGCTCCTGCCCAGGTGCCTCCCGAGCTTCGGGTGCTGTGGCTCCCCAAACCCTTCCCATCTGTGTGTAGCATGACCACCACCTTCCTACCATGTGTTTGTCCTACCACGGCTGCCGTGTCTAACGGACACTTTGCTTTCCAGCTACTTTCCTATAATCAAAACCCTTGAACGACTTTGCCTGCGTTTCAGAGATGACAGGGTATTAGTTTTTCATGATTACTCTGAGGATTTCCAAAAGCAAATGAAACTTATGGGATGTAAGATATTAGAAGTGACAGTAATTATAGATGGCTTTTCTCAGTTAGTCTTTTGATTGTGGTAAAATTACATAGCACTCTAAGTGTATGGTTTGGTGGCATTAAGTGTGTTCACACTGTTGTGCCGCGGTCACCGCCATCCATCTCCAGAACTTCCTGGTCTCCCCACGCTTGAAACTCGATCTACCAAACACTAGCTCTCTTTCCGCCCCAGCTCTGGTAAGCAATACAGATTGCTTACAAAATAGGCTTTTTCAGTAAGAGAAGGGGCAAGGAAAAGAGCTCTAAAGACTGTCTTGAGATTTGAGGAAGTGTTTTATTTGTTGCTGTCTGGTTCCCAGTGTAAAGGAACTATTGAAGACATGGGAAGGCGAAGGTCTGTGACCTCAGGAAGTGCTGGACTGGGCAGCTTTCCTGCTGTACCGGGGGCACTTGTCCTCAAACCTACCTGAGATAATCGCATGAGGATGGTGCTGCCTTGTGACAGCTCTGAAATTGGTCTCCTTGAACGTTGTCAAGTACATAAGCTTTGGCGGTTACCATCTAGTGTCTGCGGGAGACCTAGAATTTGAACATTGTTGACTTTAGAACACACTCATTTGTATAACACTCTACCTGTTCTCATCAATGTGTTCTCTTTTTTTGCCTTAATATTCTGTGTTGCGGTAGCAGTAGTTGCAGCGGACGCTACTTCTGGTTCATGGTCATTGTCCAACACAAGCTTCTGGAAACCATGTGAAAAATGAAGGGGAAAGTGCTTTTCTGCAAAGGCTTTTTTTGAATATCTTGTTTTTTCTAGAATATCTGTTGTGGTGTAAAACGTTTTCATATTTACGGTTTTGTAACGTGTTTTACACTAGTTAGCTTTAAAACCTCCTGTTTTTGCATGTCATGGGGCTGCTTTGTCCTGTTATTCTATGATATAGCTGGTTTGCAAAACTATTGGTTATTTCCCTTTAAAAACCAAAGCAGCTTACAGATAGAGTGTGATTCCTGTAAGAATTTAATTGTAAAATTGATTTGTGTTCAATAAGCTTACCGAAATGACTAGATCAGTGGACAAAAAGATAAGAACATGTCAAGTCTCTGGGCCATGAAGGACTTCCAAATAATACACATGATGCACAGTAATTTCTTAACAAAAGATTAGATTTAGTACATAACTATTTAAAACCTCCACATTTTCTATTACAGCCATTCCACAGTGCCCATGGGGGTGGGCTGCAGGACTGCCTATGGCATCCGAGGTCTGTGGGTGTTGAGGTCCCTGCTCTAAAATGGCATGGTGTTTGCATATGACATACGCACATCCTCCTGCAGACAGTCATGTCAGGGTTGCTGGTATCAGCTATGCCATGGACATGCCATGGGAGTAGTTGTTTAATGAATAATAAATTCTGAATGCTTAGTACAAACACATTAAAAAATATTCTTGATCTATGATTGGTTGAATCCACAGGCCTGGAACCCCGGGAGAGAGTACAAACTCTAGAAGCAAAACAAACAAAGAAATTGAGGTCAGCAGTGACAGGTGTGGGATCACACTGAATCTCATGTGTTTTGCTGTGTGTGTCACTGTGTCCCGTGTAAACAGGAATCATTTGTAGCTTAAGGTAAAATAGGTAACAGGAAACATTACAGAATGGGCACGAAGGCGCACCCCTCATTACCCCGTGTTACAGCCAAGTGTCTGCCTCCTGGGGAAGGATCTGTTCTGTGGGGAGACTTCCAGATGTGTGAAGTGAAATGCCCTCCGAGAAGCGTGGCTTTGGCCGGAGCACATCAGACGAGAGTTAGCGTGGCATGGAGTTTCCACAGTGCCCCTCAGGCCTGCTACTTCTCTCCTCTCCCCCGACCCCTGGCCCTGACTCTTACCAAGGGAGGAAAGTTCAGCTCCAGTTGAGCCCCGCGCAGGGCTGTGGATCTCTAGGGCAGATGCCACCTTCGCCTGAATAGGCTGTGTCAGAGGAGGGTCTGGCTGTACTTGAGCTGTGAGAGATGCTCTCAGAGATCCAGCATCCTGAAAACCCAGGTGCTGAAGGTTCCTCCTCCACCGTCCTGCGGGGAAGGGGGTCTTATCCTGCTTCCCCTCAACCCGAGCTGACTTTTGTCTGTTCTGTACACCTAGTTTTTCAGAGCAGTTATTGTTAATCATCTAGCAGACAAACACCATAAGGTGACAGCCTGGGAGGGTAGATGGGGCTGTGGAAGATAGTTTCCTGAATAACAGTGTTCAGATTCCTGTTTTGCCGTCATTTGACCCAAGGCCTCCAGATAATTGAAATATTGTCAGCAAAACACCCATTTTGTATCTGAGTTTTTTTTCATGTTTGTTTTTGTTTTTGTTTTGTTTTTAAGGAATGGCTGCAAACTTCTAACCAGGGACCTGACAAAAGAGAAGGATTTCTTTTCAAAGTGAAGGTCGGGGATGGTTGGCATTTGCCATCTGTGACGAGCAGGGACCCAGGCTGCTTCCCTCCTGCCGCCCGACTCCTGCTGCCCGACTCCTGCCCCTTCAGCTCCTGCCCCTCCAGCTCCTGCCCCTGTTCCCACCAGCAGGAAGAGGAGCAGGAAGGTGCCTTTTCCCCTTTAAGGGGATGAGGTGAGAGTTGCACCTGCCATTTCGCTAGTCCCTGGGGTGATTCTCCAGCATGGGTGGGAGTTGGGTTTGGAGGCCTGAGCCCCGTGAAGCCGGGATTGCTTTTCCCTGAGCAGTGGGAACCTAGACTCTGGGAAGTGGGGTCAGAGGGTAGCCTTTGCTGCATCTGCAGGAGGGGCCTCTCGTCCCAGTTGACATCTTCACTGCAAAAGGGGGTGTGGGCTTCATGGTCCATTGACAGAACGTTACTTGTTTTTGTTTGTTTTTTAAGCACATTGAACCCTAATTCCTTTGGCCTTTACTAAAGTGGCACTTTGTAATTCCACATGATTTCATCGTTATACTCGCAGGAGAGAATGCTTCCTGTAAACCAGAAGGATCTCTGAGACGGTTCTCGGCCCATAGAGAGTTCCTTTTCCCAAGGTTAAAGACACAGCCTCAGGCGGGGTTGAGGACACACTGCGACAGCCTCAGGAGGTCCTGGACATGTGCCCAAGGTGTTTGGGGCACAACTTGGTCTTACACATCTTAGGGAGATGTGAGACAACAATATATGTGAGATGTACGTTGGTTTGGTCCAGGAAGGGAGGGACGGCTCGAAGCTGGGAGGGGTTTCCAGGTCACAGGTAGATCAGACAAATGCGTTTCTGGTGTACCTTTCCAGAGGAAGCAGTCAGATCCGCATTTATCTCCGTGTGCAGATGGTGACTTTGGGTTCTCTCCTCTGTCATGAGGAATTTCCTTGTGGATCGATTGTGAGGGAGGTACATGGCTTGTTTTTTTCTCCCCCAGTATCTGTCTCTGTTCAGAAAAGCATGGGAGGTAGGTTTGCCCTAAGCTGTTCCTTACGTTGAGGTCCCTTTAGCTTAGTGATTTTGGGGTCCTGAGATGTATTTTCAACTTCATGTTTCTGAACACACTGGCACTCTAAACAGTGTTGTAGGAGGCATCTAACTTACTTAGAAGAAGAATCTATTTGGAAGGACTTGAGCACCTTCATCCGTGAGAGAACCAAGCCTTTGTTTAGTTTGCTTTGCCCCGAGGCTGTTACTCTGCCCTGGGCTGTGCGGCCTTAGAAAGCTGTGCCCCTCTGAGCTCCTGCCTGTGGAATCGGTGACTTTGAAGTTAATCCAGCAGCTACATGTTTTGGAAAGCAGATTGCCTCTGAAAGTGTTGGTGATTATGATTCTAACACTAGAATTTCAGTGTGTATTTTCCACCCTTCTTACTTTGTCTCCTCATACACTGAGATGCTGCTGCATTTGCCCTTAGGCTTCACAGAGGGAGGGTCAGTTCTGACCCTATCTTAGATATTGACCTTTGAACAGACAGAATCGGGATTCAGAAAAACCCTTGAGCTGTGAGAGTGTGCTGATATCTATGTAAGTGGGGTTCATGTGTCAAACTCAGGTTTAAGAAAAAACAATTCTAGGCTGGGCATAGTGGCTCACACCTGTCATCCCAGCACCTTGGGAGGCTGAGGTGGGCAGTTCACTTTTGAACCCAGGGATTCGAGACCAGCCTGGGCAACATAGCAAGACCCTGACTCTACAAAAAATTAAATAGGAGTGGTGATGTGCACCTGTGGTCCCAGGTGCTCGGGAAGCTGAGGCTGGAGGATCACCCAAGCCTGGCAGGTTGAGGCTGCAGTGAACCATGATAGCACCACTGTGTTTATGGTGCACTGTGCCTGAGTGACAGAACAAGAACCACCACCCCCCAGACACAAAGTATCAATTCATGTAGAGGCCAGTTCTGCTGGGACCACCTGTTAAGGCTACTCTGGGCCTCACGGTTTTAGAAGGGTCTGTTCCGGGGGCGAAAGGGAGTGGCTTGAGGGCCTAGAAGCCAGTTCTTGTGGTTCAGCGTGATTGCGGATGTGGAGATGGGGGCAGGGCTCTCTAGGGCATGAGTGGGTAAACGGATGGGCTTCCAGGATGAGTCCCTGTGATTTTGCCTGGTTTACATCTGTCCAATACAAATCCACAGTTTCTTACTCTAGAAGCTTCTGCTGGGGCTGATGGACTGGCCTGGGGAGAGAGGGTACCCTCAGAGCCTCAGGGTGCCATCTGGTTTAGGCAGAGCACTTAGTCACCTAGATCTAGGATTTATGGCACTACAGGGGACTCATCACACTTGGAGCAGCAGCCATCTGCATTCTAGACTTGGTTCTAGGCGAAGTACTTTGGAGTCTGTTGGTACCCTGTGTTCTGTTTATCTGTAAAACAAGTTAGAGTTATAACTAGTTACAACCTATGATTAAAATTTTACTACAGAATATGGCAGTTGTGGTGGAGCCTGGCCAGAGACCCCCACTCTCGTACGCTGCCGCGTGCTGGGGTTGCAGGCGTTGCCTGCATCAGCTGCCCCTCCTGGCGTGTCTGTGTTCTTGACACTGGTGCCCATCGAGGCTCGGCCTGTGGGACTTGTACAGCCATTTGTCTCTGTGTTCCTCTGAGGTTTCGCAGACTTCACTGTCCCGTGGCAGAGCGTACAGTATCGGCTTGCATCCTGATCTCCCCAAACCCCAGGACCGGTCAAGAGTTCCTGACACACAACTGCAGAGGGCCCCGTGGTGTGGATTTGCGGGTGACACAACCTTTCCCCAGTTCGGCCTTCATCTCCAGAGTTGGCTTTAGGGTGATAGAAGCTTCCTTCAGACTGGGGGGCCCTGAAGCTTTGGTGCTAGGAATTCGGTGACCGGCACGGATGATACCTCGTTTCTCTGCATTTGTAGCAATAGTTGTTAACATGACCACGAGATGTACAGAGGAAGGAAAAAGGAGGTTTTCTTTTCAGAGGAACACTCTGTGCTTTGGGAAATGTGGTCTCGGGGGAGCTGTAAGCACGCGCCCCTCAGGAGGGGAGGAGGCCGCGGTGTTACACGTTCCGGGGTTTGTTGGCTGTGTGTGTTCATCGGGCTCATGGAATGTCGGAACGTTTACAGGGAAAGTGGGGTTTGTTCATCCGGTTCGTGCAATGTCTGAACACCTATAGGGAAAGTCTAGCACACATGCAGTGAGTTAACCTGTAACATCCATGTTCGCCTTGGGGCAAGCGTAACATTTGAAATGAGGTTGACTGGGCGTGTCATGTACAAAGGTGAGCTGTTGGGCGCCGACGTTTATGCGCAGCCTCAGTCACAGCCAGGACTGGCTCAGGGTCTGCAGCTTGTGGCGGGAAAGGACACCCACGAGGTCATTCTGTCCAGTCGGGGCTGCCAGCAGGGTCCCAGGGTGGGGCTGTCTGGTCAGCCAGCGTCTGGAGTCCACCCAGGTCCCGTGGGCAGCGTTCCTCTAAACCAGGCTTCTGATTGTGGAGGAGTCTTCATGCTGGTTAACAGACTGTACAGGAGTAGCGCCGTGGAGCTTTGGGGTCCACCTTCCCTATGATGCCGGTTACATTTCTCTCCGGACCTCATCGTAGCCACAGAGAGTGCACCTCGTCTGACAGCAGGGGTTGCCGTGTTGATATAGTAATTTATTGTATTAACCTTTTTATTACTATTTTATTAACTTTTTTTTCTTTTTAAAGAGATAGGATATTGCTGTTACTCAAGCCAGTCTTGAACTCGTGGCCTCAAGCAATCCTCCCACCTCGGCCTCCCAAAGTGCTGGGCTTATATACGTGAGGCAGTGCACCCAGCCTACAGCCATGTTTTTAAAACTCAGCACTTTAAAAATCCTACTCCTTTCACCCCCTCAAGCACGCTGGTTAGCCTTGTGCAAACTGGGGTGTCAAGATCTTGGCCCCCCTTTTATTTTACCCTTTGACCTCAAGTTCTGATGAGAACAACAGTTACAAAATGGGCATTAGGTGATTCTTCTGTTACTAAAGCCAGAATTCTCACCAGTTAGAGATGTTTGCCCCCAGAGTCCCAGGAAGCTGTTTTGAATCAAGCTGGTAGCAAATAAGTAAGGAACTAAACTCTTGGTCCTCTGCTTAGTACCAGGGGAATGGGTTAGTTACTGATACCCTTTGATCTGTGCTCACGTGCTGCATCTCGTCACGGGAAGCAGAGTCACCCTGTGGAATAAAGTCCGGCTCACGGTGGCACGTCGAGACCCTCTGGGCTGTCAGTCCCTTTTACAGCGGCAGACTTGGAGACTCAGCATCGCGTGCAGAGCCCGGGCAACCGGAGTGCACCCACCTTAGAGACCACACGGCCGGTTGGCAAGGTGGACGTCCGGGCATATGGCCCTGACAGGCCGGCTGCGAGGTGAATTAGGAATTCGTTAGCAAAGAAATCAAACTCGCCTGTGGGTCCCAGCTACTTGGAAGGCTGAGGCGGGAGGATTGCTTAAGCCAGAAGGTCAAGGCCGCGATGAGCCATGATTTTAATACTGCACTCTGGCCTGGGTGACACAGGAGACTCCGACTCAAAAAAAAAAAAACAAACAAAAAAGCCAAACCTTACTCTTCATAGCAGGAGGGATAATTTATCAAAGTAACTGCCACAAAATCTTAGATGATGTCGGCCTCCATCAGCTCCTTCCTACCTGCAAACTGCCTGCTTTGACGTTGCCATCATTGGAGATATGTTAGGGACTTAGTATGGATTGACACCCATAGGACAAGCAGATCGTGGAAAGGTGGGAACCAGGGCTGGGAGGATGGTGACCACGGCCAAAATAAGAACCGTGGTGGGCTGGGAGGTCCATCTTCTGTCTAAAGTGTTTTTAATAATAACAAAAATAGTGTCTCAGGAGCATGAGAGGGCAGGCCACAGACGCGGAGAACATATCTGTAAAAGACTCATCTGATAAAGGCTGTTATCCAAACCATGCAAGGAACTCTCAAAACTCAACAAGAAAATGAATAACCTGATTAAAAATGGACTAAAGACCTGGACAGATACCCCAACAAAAAAGATTCACAGATGGCAAATCTACACATGAACAGATGGCCCACGTCTTATGTCATAGGGTGAGGCGTCAGAGTACACCCATCAGCCTGACCAAAATGCGAACTCCGACACCACCATGTGCTGGTGGGTGTGTGAG